TGTGTCCTAAAATTTTGGAACTTAAACGAGAACTGGTCCTTAAGTTGATTAAAAGAGAAGGAGAACCTTTAACTTCTCAATGTTTTAGTCATAATCCAAATTTGCCGAAATAGCTGTCTTCTTATCTATTTATTTTTTCATAATCAGAAGATAATATGTCATGCATGCTTAATGTTCTTCAATGAAATGTTGTTAGTGAAACGTTTTGTGCCATTCATTAAGCTCGCATCTTTGTAGTCAATTTTGATAACAAAATTCCGTTTGAGGACCAGTTCTCGTTAAGATCATCGCAGAAAGATTCGCTGATAGCTGATGGTAAAGAGGAACAAAAATGCAGTTGTTTACTTTTAGTTATCTTTAATGCCAATTTCTCTACCATTTCGTTCTTCAAATACCTGGAGTTTAATTTAGTGTCTTGCACCTACTCGCTGTGTGTGCATATGTTTACCTTTCTGTTGCTGATTCTGAATAGAAACATTATAGGCGCCATATTTAGCTGGGCGACGTCGGCCGGTGAGCTGATGTTGGGGCACTCAAGCAAGATTAGATGCAAATCTTCCGTCATAGCAGTAATAAGTCGAAGTTCTCTCTCGTTTATATCTGCAAAGGGTAGTAGTCCCTTTAAGGTGAGGATATTCCAAGTTTGATTCCTTTTGTATAGTAAAATATACCATATGTCAGTTTGGACGAGCCTTTGTCACCAATATCGGTCGTCAACCGACGCACACGACTTCCGAACTTCTTCACTATTGCCGACCTAAAACCAGCTTGATGTATTGTGATAATTGTCCGCCTCGCTAAGGAAGATGGTAGGTCATTCAACACTAAAAATGCCTTACTCTACCCAGTTGATATTGCTCACCTTACCGCTGCATGCATAAGTTGTGTAAGCCTTGAGGATTGGTAACATGGCCCAAGCAGCACAATAGGACGAGTAGATGGGACTACGGTGTAAGGGTTGGGACACTCCCATATCTCTGCTTGTTTAGATCTGCAAAAGAAACTTTGCTTTTTCTTAATAAGCATATTTAACTGATGTGCGCTATTTGAAGGCCAGAAGAAGTTTGTTATCTAATTTTCCTTATTTGAGTAGAGTTTGCTAATTGTAAGGATTCCAATCTTCTCAATCTTAGCATTTAGAATATTTTCCAAACATGTCCCAAATGTGATCGGTGTGTGGAAGTTTCAGGTAGCTTTAAGTAAGTCCGACCACCAGTAAATTTGGATCCTATTCGTGAGCAGTATGGATTTTACTTTAATGAAGAAATAAGTGTACCAAATTTTTTACTGCTTTATAAACCGTTGTGGATTCAATAGAAGCTGAAACAGCGATTGTATTCGTTTAAATTGTATTATATTTTGGTAGTATCGTTTAGTTCCTTCTGAATCCCTGAGTACAAAGCTTATAAGCTATTTCAAACTTTATATATTGCAATTAGCAAAAAACAGAACTCGGGTTGTATCAGCGTCCGTGAATTTGAGCTAAATAAGTTCTGTTCAATTTTTTCTTGAATGACAAATGGAAATCGTCGTTATGTTTCCAAAATACATTTTATTCTCTAATCATTCCACTCAAATTCCATCCTAGCACATGATATTTGATCAAATGTACTATAAGGGAGTTGTTCTAAACCTTGAGCAATGTAGCTAGTTTTGGGAATTCTACCTCGCTGTCAATAAAGTGGATGCATTACAAGTTTTCATTTAAAATACAGGGAAAGCATATTCAAAAAGTATAGACATTCAAATAATCTTACTGAGCTTTCCAAGAGAGTTTAAGTAGAATCTTAGTGAGTCGTTGCATGTTCAAGTTCTACTTAGGTATTCTTACTCCTAGTTTCAGCCTATAGTATTCAGATTCTCTATAGCCATAATAATTAACCATTTGTTAATAAATTGCTTGAAAATGTTGCGACAGACTAAGGTACGGCAAAAGCCAAAGGGTATAGTAGATAGAGCAAATTATAGAATAATAAATGATTTTGGTTAGCTTTGCGCTTAATCTGCTCATTACT